AGTGGAGGCGCTCATTTAAAATGCATTTGTACAGCACCGAGCGCAACCTGGCTGAGGCCTGTTGCCAGCTCCCCTACATCTCCCTTGACTCCCTGCATGACACATGTTAGCTAGTCTCCGAGCATCTCACGCACGTAAGTACAGTACGGGACAGAGGACTGCAACAGCGGCGCTGTCTTTCCCACAGAGGCTGCTGAGTCCGTGAAGTGCGAGGCCCTGCCACTAACACACCCACTGCTGTTGGCAAAGCTGTGCGGATGAATGAGGAGCGTGGGACACAGCGTGGGGCGCTGCCCCTGTAACAAAACCTCTTGACAATGTAAACAGTGTCCTTCAAATTCAAATATAGAAAATGCAAGTGAGCGATCAGGAGAGATGCCTCACCTAGCACGCCGTTGCTGTTTCTCCAGTTGCTATGTAAACAGTTTTATTTCTGGCTCAGACCACATACCAGGTCACAGCCCTGTGCCATGTAATCCCAGATGATTGGTTTAAGTGTGCTGGGGCGGATACGTTGGTTCCAGAGTAAAGCTCTTCCAGTATTACCCAGAGCAGCTGCTCTGCTTGCGCCAGGGCAGTTGCGGGCTGTCGCGCTGCCTGGCCCACAGGGTTTATCGCAGCAACAGAAAATAGATAAAATTCCTTCCATGCCCGCACTCACCCCAGGGGGGGCTGACATAGCTGACACCTATTGAGGAACGCAGATAAGACCAGGCAGGGAAGGGCCTGGGTGTGAGTGTGTAACGCTGCACGGTGCAGCTGAAACGAACGGCGTCTGCATCCTCCACGTCTTGTCCAGTTGGTTCCGTGAACCAGGGATCAGAGAGGAACCAGGGCTGGTCCCAGTCTAGGTTTGAAGGCCAGATGGCATTGTCTGCCCACCACAAGGCAATAAATGCATGAATAGTGTGACTGAGAAGGACCTCTTGAGTCACCAAGTCTGGTCTCCTGCTGTCACAATCACCTAATCTCCACCTTAAGACCAGCAAGGGTTTTGTCGCCTTCAATAGCATCTATGGGGAGGAGCTTCCCTTCATCTTCCAGCTTCCAGCCTCATCTTCCCTTCATCTCGCTGAGGCTGAAAGGCGGGGGCTGCCTCTTACTAAGGGTCCATGTACAGTGCCCAAGGCAATTCACAAATAATTGATGCTCTGGTCACAAATGGTTGGCGCTACTACTAATGCAAGTGATCCCTTTGTCCATGCAGGCAGGCATCTGCATGTGAAAAACCTCTATTTGTGAAGAGGAGGTGCCCGGGTTATACGGAGACCTGCTGGATGTGCATATATTGTCATGGTTGGGTGCTCGTGTTTGAGGTGGTGGCCCTGAATACACAGCTAAATGCTGGAGGTGGGCAGGGAGATGGGGTCCCACAAAGGGTAAGCACTGGCAGCTGCTCCTGCTGGCAGCTTGGAGACAGAGTCCGAGATACTGTTGTGCCTCACCAGCCTGGCAAGACTGTGCACAGTGTTTATGCCCAGTTTAAGTCTCTCTTAAGCCTTAACAGGAGAGCAAAACTTGAATTTCAGCATGGCTTTCCCTTACTTATTAGTATGGCCTCTGCAAAAGAAAGACGTTAGCTACTAGACAAGGAGCAATGGTCTCAAATTGCAGCAAGGGAAGGTTAGTTTGGATATAAGGAAAGACTTTCTCATGAGGAGGCTAGTAAAGCACTGGAACAGGCTATCCAGAGAGGTGGTGGAGACTCCATCCTTGGAGGTGTTTAAGGCCTGGCTAGACAAAGCCTTGGCTGGGATGATGTAGTTGGGGCTGGTCCTGCTTTGAGCAGGGGGGTTCACTAGATGTGACCTCCTGAGATCCCTTCCAACCCCCATTTTCTGTGAGTCTTCTAGAGGGGAGACAGCAATGCCTACTTCTTAGACATGGAAATATTGGGATGGGAAAGTTTTCTGACCTCCCAAATACCTTTCCCTATTCAAGGGGTGAGTCAATGGCCAAGCACTGTTGTAAAGTGTGTTCCTGATGGGGGAGTGCCAGCCAAGCCTTCTGCCCTTTTCTGTGACGCTGCCTTTCCCATCGTTCAGTGAGGAAGAGGCCGGTGGGCCAACCTTGCTTCTGGTTTTCTGTGTCACCTGGAGTGAGGTTGCCTGGTCATCTGGAGTCAATTCCCTGGTGTTTGCAGAGGCAAATGGGCAACAGAGCCTTAATCTGCTTGCCTCTCTACTGTTCTTCCATTGAAATCTGTACAGAGTCAGTTTTGCAGCGCGGTGCTGCTGGATGCCATGCTTGCAGCTATGCAGTCTCTGGAGCAGGATGCCATGCCAGCACCCTGGCTTGAATATAGGAAAGGCCATTGAACTCGGGGCCTGGGCAAGCCCCAAACTCAGAAATAGCCTTCTCCATCACTATATCCCCTCCGCAGCCATTTCCACCATGCAGCGTGCTGTCCTAACCTGCCACACCACGTGGCTGGGTGCTGCTTAGCCGGGTTGTATCACAAAGGAGACTTTTTTTTTTCCCTCTGGCAGATGAATGGTTGTGCAGTGTGTAAAGATCTGTGGGATGAAAAGGTCCCTATCAATATGAGCTGGAGGATTAGTAATGCATGCAGGGAGCCCCTCGGGGAAAGGATGACTGTGCAGAAGTACCACCGTTTTCTGTCTTTCTTGCAACCACAAGGCTATAAAATTGGAAATCGCAGTTGAACAAAGGGCGGGTTGATCTCTTTACAGCTCCTGCCTCCGGGTAGCTCTGATCCAGTATTACAAAGAAAGCTAGCTGGCAGCTGGGCTCTGTAGGTGGTGAGCTCACAGTCAGGTTCTCCCACGTGGTGGGACATACTCATGTCCCATGGAGTCCGAGTGCTTTGTGTTTCTCCTTTTGTTCTGTGAATGGGACGGTAATGTCACTGGCAGAGGAGGAAGGGCTGTGCATCATCAGAGAGGCAAGATGAGGCTGCAGAGGCTAGCATGCAACTCAGTGGCTCGTGGCCTTGCCTGGTAGCATGAGGCCTCTGCTCTCTTTAGGACCCATTTCTGGCCATCTCAGAAGATAGGAAGCCATGGGACTCAGAGCATCACTCAAAGTCAAAGCAGCCTTGGATCTACTGCTGCTGCTGGGGATTGTGCGGCTTCAGATTATGGGGAATTGAGGGCAATGTAATGGTACATCAGTCCCCTTGCACATCTTCCTTCCTTTCCTCTTGTACATGGGGGAGGAGTAGAGTCTGACCATCAAAACCTGTTACAAGCAATGGAAAATGTATTCACACGTGTCCCCTGAGGGTGGTGGGCCTTGTTGGGAGAGGCAAAAAGCCTGGCCCTTTCTCCCAGAGGCAAACACCCGGATTAAAATCACGGATAAAACAAAACATGTTCAAAGAACAGCGCGCGGAAGAGACAAATCCATGACAGAGACCCAGGTCTGGGCATCCGGGTCCATTGTGGGGTGTCTGCAGGATTCGCATGGTCCTGGCATCTCTCAGCCTGACAGGCGAGTAATGGAAAAAAAACCTCCCTCAGCCCACATGTGTCCTGGAGGGGATGTCAGTAAGACAATAAACACTGCCATGTGGCCTACAAGCTCTGGGCTACATCTGTCTGTCTGGATTAGGGCCAGTCCCAGGAGCTGCTTATGCTAATGGAGCTAATCTCCATAATCTTGTCACACAAATGCTTCCTTGCTGTTGGTGGAGGGGCAGGGATTTGGGATTATAGCGGGCACCAGCCACCAGCTCCCCTCCTTTGTGCATCAGGAGGCGGCAGGTTGGGGGCTAAGGGGTGATACCGGATAGGATCAGCTCAGGGAAGAGGTCACGTATTGCAGCGTGAGGGAAAAGGCTTCTACCTGTCTTTGCACTGAGCCGGCCTGCCCTGGCCTCCCCCTGACATGAGGGTTTCAGCTGGTTGCGGGGAGGCAGTTGATGGCCTGGCTACCGACAGACCTCTTTACTCAAATTGCCAAATGGCTGCAGCTGCGGCAGGCTGGTAGCATTTGCCTGGAGTCCCCTATCCGGCTACCAGGAGCCTAATGCCCCTAAGAAAGGTCCCTGTAAGGGAGGCAGGTGACTAGATCTTCACCCTGAAAGGGGGGGTGCAAGTGCCAGTGGACATCTGAAAGAGGAGGAGGAGGAGGAGGAGGGTGAGGGCTAGTACTTCTCAAAGATGAAGCGAATTCCTGGCTGAAATGCATGTTGTTCTGTTGCTAGGAAAGTCAGGATCCAAGGCAGGGAGGCGGTTTGGACTCTACACAGTGTGTGGATGCTTTCTGGGGTGGGGTGGGAAAGGACCTGCTTTATACAGAGTTTCTTTTCCTGGATAACAGTCTGCTGGGAAGTGTCCTATGACCCAGGCACTCCTTCCACAAAGGGAAAGCCAAAGAGCCTGCAGATGCCAGCAGTTCTGGGCGGTGCGGACCTGCTGTGGTTTCAGACACAGCTGGGAGATGAAAGGCTCTGTCCCTCTACCAAGCTGCTTAGATGCCCGGTTTCCCAAGACCCTAGTATTTGCAGTTGCTGGATCAGACTCTCCCTGACCGTGAACCCTGCTGAGTTTTGCTCTCGCCAGGGATAAATTTGGGCTGACTGCAGCACATGCAGGTTCAGTGTTGAATATTTTGAAATCGGGGGAGTGATCTCAGCTGCGAGCCGCAGGGGAGGTGTTGTGCCCCCACAGCTGTGCTCCTGGGTGCAGATTCCCCCTCTAATCCCCAGCTCTCCTGGCACAGCGAAAGCAGGCACTTGGCAAGCACAGAAAGGCACCAGCAGTAGGGAAGGGGATTTTTTGCTGCATCCCGTTGGGTGGGTTCCAGCAAGGCCTCCGCTAGGAAAATGACCTGTTGCTGTGGACAGGTGCAGCTGAGCTGCAAATGCAAACAAGGACAAGCTGTGATTGGCACCATTTAAAACTTGAGCTCCGAGCAGATCCATAGGAAAGCAGACTTAACAGTTCTGGTGTTTCTAAGGTAGGAAACAAGCAGATGTACAGGTCTTCCTTTTTTATTAGGCATAATAAGCCCTAAAGGGCACATGTCCAATGTTTTTCAACTGCTTGGTAGGTCACTTTAAAGCCCTTTTTTCCTTTGGCAGCTTACAGCTGCTTTATTCTCCATTTGTACCTTTTGCCTCACATCTGTTCCTGCCTCCGCTGTCACCAGGGCAATCTTCTTGCCTCTGCACGTGCCTCTGGTCTCAGGCTGTAGGTTCCAGACCTCCATGTAGGTAGGTTCTTTTTACTTGAATATGGGAGGTACCAGACTGAGTATCAATTCCCCTGGTCTCGGATCGTATGGTCTCAAATCGCTCTTCCCACCAGCCCTGCAGGCTCTCTCTGCTTTAGGTTGCAGGCCACAGGCCTCTTGCTCTACACTTCAAGGTCCTATGTTTTCGTTCCTCCCTGTTTTTTTTCTTCTGGAGAAGAGGAGACTGAAGGGAGATTTAAGAGCAGCCTTCAACTACCTGAAGGGGATACTGAAAGAGGATGGAGCTGGACTCTTCTCAATGGTAGCGGATGACAGAACAAGGAGCAATGGGCTCAAGTTGCAGCAAGGGGAGTTTAGGTTAGATATTATTCAAGGTTTGGAATAGACTGCTGCCGGAGATGGTTTAAGCACCTATTTTGAACGCCTTCAAGAAACATTTGGATGTTTATCTTGCTGGGATCCTGTGATCCCTGCTGACTTCCTGCCCCTGGGGCAGGGGGCTGGACTCAATGATCTTCAGAGGTCCCTTCTAGCCCTAATGTCTATGAATCTATTAGGAAAACAACCTCTCGCTATGAGGGTAGTAAAACGCTGGAACAGGTTACCCAGAGAGGTGGTGGAAGCTCCATCCTTGGAGGTTTTTATAACCAGGCTAGACAAAGCCTTGGCTGGGATGATGTAGTTGAGGTCAGCCCTGCTTTGAACACGGGGGGTGGACTAGATGTGACCTCCTGAGGTCCCTTGAACCTGAATTTTCTATGATTCCATAACATGCTGGACTCTTATTACTTGCATGCATTTCCTCTTCTCCCAGTGTCTTGGTGAGGAATGCACCAGAACCTAGATAGACAGTGGTGTTGCCAGCCCTGTCCAGCTGACTGGCATAGACATGGGTTTATTATAGGGCTGGGCTAGGGGATAGCCACTCCACCTCCCTCTCCCTCCCCAAAATGTCATGTCTGGTTGAGCTATTTCAATTTAAAATAATTCATGGTCAGTCTCTCAAGTGCTGCTTCCTTGCCAGTCCAGTGACAGCTCTTCCCAGCCATAAACTGCTAGCATGTGGCCATTTTGCAGAAACGGGCATGGAAGCGTTATCTGGAACGCTCAAGGGAACAATTAACTCCCACAGGTGTTCAGTGGTCACTAAATATAGCATGGGGGGGGGGTGGGAAGCAGCTGGTAGTAACCATACAGGCTGCATGGTGAAAGGATTAAGGAACTTCTCACGTTTCAGTCCTTTCAGATGCTCCCTTGATAGCAGTTCTGTTTGTATCTCCACCCATGGCTGTAACTACCCAAAGCTGATGGGTGATTTGGGCCTTGGGTTTTGGCCTGGATCTGTCCTGATCAGAAACTCCATGCAATCCTTTGACTTACGTTTAATGAAACCTATTGCTCTGGGGGTGAAACGGCGTGTCCCCAACTTAACCCCGAGCAAAGTTTTAATGGCTGAGCTTTGTAAATCCATGAACCACAGTTTTTATAATGGAACTGCTGACACATGGCTGAGCCTCCGTGCATGGAGAAAGCCCTGTTAATGCAAGAGCTCTGTTCGCGCACAGAACTTATTGCTGTCGCCGCTTGGCTTAGTCACTAGCTGCTTGTTGACTGAGCTCCATTTGGTCTGTAGCACTAAATATCTAGGAGTCAAGAAGAAGGCTTACTCCCTTGTTTTGCTAATGGAGGATGTTGTGCAGAGACAGACTTGTGCAAGAAGAGACTTGGCTTCTCCCCACCCTGTGCATTTGCAGGTGAGGGTAGCTGCTCTGCACAATCTAGTCTCCCTTCCCTATTGCACCCTTTCCCAGAAGGACAGGTTGCATGAGGGGACTTGGTAGGTACAGTTCCCCATGGTCTCGTGCTTTGTGTAGTCATTCTATGCCCGTGCAGAATGGGCATCAAGAAACCACCAGCACACCAGGACCGTGCCATCATCCCTCTTCCTGGCAGACTCGAGTAACCTTGTTCAAACAATGTCACTACCTGGGTCTCCATTTCCTTGTCTAGAAGATGGTAGCAGCAACAACCATAGTAGGAAGTAAGGGTTAAGTTAGTATTTCCGAAACACTTGATCTTCTTATGAAGACTGCTGTAAAAGGGTCAGAGACGGTGATGGGCTGAGTAGAAATATGACAGAGACTGACCAAGAGCTTGCATTTCTAACAGTAGAAAACCTTATTTGATTCTTTGCAGGTTAAGTTTCCATTTTTCCTGCTGGCAAGACAAGACATGGATTTGGGTTCCTGCCAAGAGAGAACTTACACAGACCCTGTCTAGACCAGTCTATTCAATTCCTTACAGGGACAGATGGTCTTCATGACTCATTAGAGGTCCATTCCTATCCAAATGATTCTAACGTTCTCTGCCTACTTCATTAACTTCCCCAGTAAAGCTTTCCAGCCATGCTTGCTATTCTGCTGATTGCTCTGTGTTCAGCACGACTGAGACAGCTGTAAGGACCGGTCTGGATGTATTTTATTTCTCAACCTTATCAATAGATCTGTACTGCTGCTCAGCAGATATATCATGCGCGATCCAGGATTTGCTCACAAGCTTTTGGTTTTGCTTGTTCTATGATTTAGGTTTTGGGAGGCCCAAAAGAACACGGTCGCTCCAAAGCAATAAAAAGACATATGCTTCTTACGTGCCTGTGTGGGTTTGCCCCCCTTTCTTTTCTTCTTAACTGTACCTACAGAAGTGGAGATAATCTGGCGTTGTGCTGTGGGCAAAATCAGGGTGTGCTCTCCTATTAGAGATGGAAAAAATGATTCTGTGTTTCAGCACTTAGTATTGATTCTTGCTCACTTTTATTTGTCTTTCTCCGACAAAATTGTCTTTGGAGTTGGCACACACATTTTAAGACATGACCAAAAAAACCAAGTAAGGACTTTAAATTTAGTCTCTTTTCTCAGTCCTTATCAAGTGGGAACCATTATGTTTGAGTAAGGACTTCTGTCACAGATATGCAGTAGGTGACCAACAGGGTGTGACCGGCTGGACTGGTTCAAAATCCATTCTTCTATTGCAGTCTGTTCAGGAGAGAAATGCAGTGAGGACAACAGCCTGTGCAGCAGTGGACCTGAGGAGAAATTTGGGACAGAGCCATGATCTCACTCCCATGAATCAAACTGATTTAATCCTGAACAATATTCTCCAGCATGCCATACAATGATGGGCTCTGCCAGCCAGCCAGAGCATGCCCAGCCTGATATGTGAGCAATTTCAGACCCCGCCAACATGCTAATCTGCTGAGGAGAAGCCAAACCCTCTTGCTGTTAGAACTGCTCCTGGCACAAAATAAGATGCCAGAGATGCACTCCTCTTTATCATCATGTCGGGGTAAGATGGTGCTAATGAGAAGAGGACATGCCTTATAGGCTAGGAGATGCATATGGGCCAGCGAAAAGCATTTTATGGTTCTACAAATGTTGGGCAGGAAGATCTCTTCAAAACTGTCATTTATTTTCTGATGCTCCAGAAAGCATTGGGCAAGATGTAGAAGATGAAGGCAGACTCTGTAACAGGACTCTGCATAGAGGGCTAAGGCTTTTTTGCTGATTGATCTGTGTCTTGAGTGTTAGAGCCCTTGTATACGTTATAGACTAATTCCCACTTGCTCACTCCAGCGTGAGACCCTAGAGCGTGGAAAGTGTTTGAGCGTCTCTCTATAAGGTTGGTAGAAGGAAGGCTGGCAATGAAACAGCCAGTCTCAAGGGGAAATGCAGGCTAAAATCATCACTGCTCCCAGCGAGCAATATGCTTTTTCTTTGGGACTGCCAGCCACATGGGGAAATCACAGAGGGTACTGGAGTGAGCGGTGCTAATACAAGTATGTAGGACTGGGATTTTCAGAGGACTCCAAGGTAATTGGCACCATGCTGCTATATCCCAATGAAAGTCCAGAGGTGTTGGATACCTGTGGCTGGCTTTTTAAACACTGTGAGACTCTAGGTAGATAGCCAGGTGCTTGTGGGGTGTTTAGAAGCACCAGTGTGCTCAACTGCTACTGAGAGCAAGGGAATTAGGAAATGCCTTTAAACTTCTCTAGGTGCCTAAATCCCTTAAATATCCCTCTTCTCTCAGAACTGGTTATGAGAGCACATGTATTAACTATATGTCCTTCTGCAGTTCACATGTGCCCAGACCCTATGAGTTTTGCAGTGAGGAAAAGTGGGGTGATAACTTCTATTTGGGCTGACTGCATGGCTGGAACCAGGCGCGACAAGTAGTAGTAAGGAAATATAAGGAGAAAAATGATGAAGGAAAAGCCAACACTGTAAGAAGTGGATTTTGTAGGAAAGTCCCTTTGAGAAAAAGATTTCCCTGCTAAACTGTGGCCCCAGGATTCATTTCTTGGCCTGAGAGTGCATCTGCCTGTGCAATGGCCTCAATTACTTTTTAGGCAACAAGTTTATCACAGCTCCTGTCATCCTAAAGGAACCCATAGGCTTTATAAACTGAGACACACACAAAGCGTGTGAGCTCTAGGCTCCTTTCCCACAGCACAGAAATGCAGCCATGTCTTGGGACAAACACAGCTGGTGTTTAACCACATGAGGCAGCATTTCAAGAAGGCGCTGGAGGGAAGAGGAATTGAAATTATTGCTGATTTAGTTTGGCCAAATTGCAGGGAGAAAAACGGAGGCAACTGTTTGCAGTGCCCTGTTGCTTCCAGGTACAAATCTGGACCCTGTTTTGCCTGCTGGAGAAGCAGCAGGATTTGGGAGGAGCACCTCTCCCCAGGGTACACGGACAATTGCATGATATTCTCTGCTTCCGAGCGAAGAAAGAATTGCAGTGGATGGTTTAGGAGCAGATGCTTGAAGCGCTGCCTCCTGTGCTAATTCCAGTCTTCTCATTGCCTTAAGAAGGACATTAATAGATCTAATGGGGATTAAATATATCTTTTCAACTCAGTTACCCCTGTCCTGAAAGCATGAAGGATTATTTAAATGTATAATCATTTTTTAAATGGGAAAGCTTGTCACCAGCCTCACACATACACAAAGCTACACGGGGAGAGGATCTGAGTTGCGTACAGCCTTAACGATCATTACTTTAATCCACAAGGTCTCTTTTCCCCCTGTAACTGCTGTAATCAAATAATGATCTAGTTTATTACATGCCAGGCAAAGTGCTTTAGCTGATCAGCCAATTGTGCTGCAAGCATAGAGAGCCTGAGCCTGCTGCGGGCTGTGGGGCCGGGGATGGGAAGAGAGAAACAATAGCTTCCTCTCATTGAAATCCACATCCTTATAAATTGTTTTAATGGGCCTGGAGTGGAAGCTACATTCTTCAATTGATTCCTGAGTTTCAAGGGAGCTGGGGATTTAGCCACTGTTGTGGGCAGGTTTAGGTGAGAACACCCCATCACAGGTTAGGAGAGGGTCTGAAAGGCTGGGGGTGAGAAGGGGTCAGATAATAAAACAATGCATTAGTGACCACAGGTGGAGAGACTTCCATATTATTTTCCCTGGGAAAGGCTGGAACGCCAAGATACTGCGTGATGGGTGTGCTGGAAAGGACTGGCCTTTGCTGGACCCAGTGATCTAATACAGCAGGTCCCCCTCTGTGGTACACAGACAACCCATCACTGGTATGTATCAACAGATTTCCTATAATTACTTTATATGACGAATTTGCTGGTGGTACTTAAGGTTGTATCATTTTAATTTGGTGGTGCACAATCTGTCAGAGTTTGGAAGCCCTTAATCTACTAGGTCTCTTCCCTGTTGAGTTGTGTGATCAGCAGTGCTGCAGATGGCCAGATCTAGAGGACACAGGCACACCAGCCTTTGACATCACCCTCTGCCCGACTTCTGTACTGTTTCTACAAGACAAAAAGGGGCCTGGAAAGGTCAAAAGACCTCAGGGTGGAGAAAGAGGGCAAAACTCGGCAGCCTCCACATCCCAATGTTTTAAGGATCTGTAAAGAGCACTCCTGCCTTGAGGACTGCCCGGTCTCAAACGCCTGGGCAGAGTTAAGGTTACCACAGGGAGCACTGTGCTAATAGCAATGCAAGTGAGGGCTGGCGGGCTCCAGGAGCTCTTCACCTCTCACATCACCCCTTGCAAGCCAACTTGCTTGTTCCTAACTAGAAAGCAGCTCAGTGAAGTCTCAAGCATGGACTTATCTTCTCAACCCAGCTCCTAGTGGGCTGAGAAAACTAAAAAGGGCTATGTGAGGCCTATTTATAGGAAGAGGTAAAGAATACACCTCAGTTGCGTCTCCCGAAGAGCCTGCCCTGCGGCCAGGTGCTCGTTAGCCTTGATAGCAGGGAGCAACATCCTGAGCAGTTATCTCAGCAGAGAGGCTCTGCCTTGGCTGTCTGCAGGAAGGCTTTCAAAGAGTGGTGGGGCTTGCATCTTGCTCTTGTTAGCTGTGCCTAGAGGCCCTGGCCAAGCGAATCCTGGTAAAGCCTCAGCAAACGCTTGACAAGACAAGCTCTTGGAAATTATTATACCCATTGTTCAGGGGCTCAGGGAGCCCAAGTGATTTTTACGGAGGGTCATGCAGAAAGCTATGAGTCAAATTAGGAGCTCTTCTCAGTCACAGATCTATGCCTCAACACCAAAACTCCCTTTTCTCTCCAAGTGAGGGAAGCTGGCTAATATGCCTATTTGGTGGCTTCACCAAAGTTCACGTCTCCTGGCTGTCAGTCCCGGCAGGTATAGGCAGGGGCTCATTTTGCACTGAGCTCTGGTGAAAGAGGCCTTGGTGGGCTGCCTGCGATGCTGTCACCGTGCCTTGGGATTGCTGCATGTCTCTCAGGTGTATGGTGAGCACCTGCGAGGAAGTGGAGGGCAGAGTCCTGCCCAACATCAATGCTCTAGGACACTGCGCACCTACCGGGGAGGCAACCTGACCACAACCCTCACAGCAGACCGCACGATGCTCAGCGGTGAAGTGAGATCACCCTCTGGTGGTGAAGCTGGGAGAACTGCATGATACTGGGATTTTGGGGTAGAACAAGAAGAAACCAGGAACCCTGAAATACATAAGAATCACCGGGTCTGGGTTATCTCTAGAAAGCAGAAACTCAGTCCAGATTTCCAAAGGGGCTCATGGAGGTTCCTCAACCCTCTGAGTTGAGTTGGTATGGTTTTATGGCCAGAACAAGGAAAACTAGGATTTCTACCCTGTTTCCACTGGAGGCCTGTGGCCTGCTCACAGCTGAAATCCAAAGCTAGGAGGATGTGAACCTGATGGGAATCAGGGCTAACGGACAGGAATAGTAGGAATGTATGGGGTGGGGGTTATTCTCTTCCTATTCAAGGGAGGAAACTTTCTGTAGAGTTAAGCCAGTAAAATCTGGGGCGGGATGACACTTATTCCTGCTCTGGGCTTTTCCCCAGTTAGAGCTTACTTAGTATACAAGGCTCTCTCTTTTTCTCTCTCTCTCTCTCTCTCCAACACATTGGCCCATTAATTTCTATTCTATTTTAATTTCTCCTAGGATGAAGGTAGGTAGCCTTGCATTGGAGATAAGAATGAGGCATGCTGGGAAGGCTCTGTAGCATATAAAGACCAGCCTTTTCTTCAGTAGGCACTTAGTCTACTGGTGATAGGATCTCCAGGTATGGAAGAAAATGTGCCTTGGTATTTATTTGAGTTTTGCTGCTTTTAGACAGGTTTTGTGCATGAGGCAAGGAGCAGCTTTTAAACTGCATTATTTAGACCAGTGTGCTTCTGCTTGAGGCCAGTCACATGGTTATTTTTGTCAGGCCACTTGCAGTTTAATCCTCTGAACTGCATTGTGCACTAACATACCCAGTGTGGTATGGTATAAATAAGGCCAGAGTTGCTTTTTTTCCATACATACAAGCATTTCTGTCCTCAGGAGTTGGTAACCTTGTAGAAGCTTGAAATGCTATGTTCCCTGAGAACAGGGCGGCTGCAGCATTCACACGGACAGCCCAAAAGAGCTATGCTTTTCTCTCTGGCTCCTGGAACTGCAGGACTTAAAAATAACCTGGAATGGTCTGTCCAGGCTCTGAGGTAGTGAGTGTTTAATGTGGCTAGCAGACATGCTGGTGTTCCCTGTACATGAGTGCGCGCACACATCCACACACGTGCACAAATACCTCTATGCATATGTCTTTATGCCCGGCTCCTGTCCCTCCCAGTTATCCGCTCCCTCAAATCATGCCCTTGCTGCATCCCCTTAGTAAGCTGGTTTTGCTTGAGAACTGCAGGCAGTTGCACCCTATGCTCGGGCGGGGGGGAACCTTCCAGTAATGAAATGAAGAAGCAAAACAGTGGATATGTAGCTTTAATTTCCTCTAAAAATTGCGTACTTGAGAA